ACCCCCCCGCCCTCATCCCCCTGCCCTCATCCCCCTTATTCCCCCATACCTCTCTGGGGCCGCATCCCCGCGGGATCCGGGAGCAAATGGGGAGCGGGCGGGCGCGGGGACCGTTTTGGGGGGACTTGGGTGAGGAAACCCCGCCCCGGAGGGAAACGCCACCAAAACGCCAACGCTATCACTGTTGCGACGGGTGACAAGGAAGGGGGGCGGAGCTTCGGAGGGGCCCATGGGACCCAGAGGATGGGTGAGGGTGGCGGGGTCACCCGGGAGCCGGGGTCCTCTGAGGGGGTGTCGGGAAGGGTCACAGGTCCTGGGTTGTTCCCTTGTGGCGTCATCAACACCGATTTGGGTCGACAGTCCAGGGTCCTTCTCACTCCCCATCATTCTGTGGGGGTCTTTGCCCAATTTGGGGGACTCTGTTCACCATTCTAGGAGGGGGCTCTGTCTCCCCAACCCCAGAAGATCACGAGACCCACGAAGACCATGAAGACTGTGGGGACGCCAGGGCTGGTGTCTTTACTGGGGGGGACCGGGCTGTCCCCCCGCACGCAATTTGCAGGATGTCACTGCTCCCCTCCATACCCGCCACTTGGGGGGTGTGGGGTGTGTCTTACCCATTTGGGAGGATCTCTGCCCCCTTTGAGGGAGGTTTCCCACCCACTTGGGGGTGCCATTTAGGATGGGGGGAGTCTCTGACACATGGGAAGGAAACCATGAGACCCACTGAGACCATGAAGACCCCTGAGACTACCAAGGCTGGTGCATTTATTTTGGGGGATGTCATGCAGCAGGGGGGTTCTCTCCAGGATCCTGACTGGGGGGTGTCTGTCACAAGTGTACTTTCTACTACATAGGCTGCTGAAGCTTCACCGGTCCTGAAGCCTTACTCAGACAGGTAGCTCCATTCTCTAAACTCCAGAACACACCTGCCCAAAGAGCTGAAACAGCCTAGAAGCTGAAACAGCTGGAGGAACAGCAGAGCACCCTGACCAGAGGCTGTGGTTTATATACCCCAGCCTCAGTAGCTGCACGTCTGCTGCCCCAACCCATCCCTTCCTCCACCCTATCTCAATCCTTGGCTCAGCCACTTTCACACCTCATGAGAACAACCTACATGCTGCAGCTCCCAGGTGAAGCCCATCTCCCTTGCCCTGACCCCAACCACAGACACTAACCCTGAGCCCAGCAGATGGATACAGAACTGGCAGGAAAGAAGAAAAAAAAAAATAGAGAGAGGAAGCCTAATAAAGTAAACATGGAAACTTGAAAATGTAAAGAGGAGCAAGGTCAGAGAGAACTAAAAGCAGTCACAGAAACTTACAGTATATGTACAAATAAAATTTTACAGCCAAGGGATTAAGAGAGGAAAATAGACAGCAAGCTATATAAAAGTATGCAGAAAATACAAATTTTTAAAGCTAATAGAGGAATGCATTAAAAACTATCAACAGTGAACTAAGATAAAAACAGAAACTGTAAAAAAAACCCCTTAAACTTTCTGATATAGGCCAGGGCATCTTCAGAAATTTTGCTTGTGAAAGTGAAAATATAAATGTGCACCTACTGATTTGCATGTGTATCTTAGCAATAAAGAGTGAATCTATAATCTATACAAACTACACTAATTTGGAGAGTATGTGTTTCAGTCTTCATATGGTAATATCTGGTCTGCCTTCAAACACAATACTGCTGAATTTGGTGATCCTAAAGACAACATGGAGTAGCAGAGTTGTCCAAATTTCTCATTGTTGCAGTTTATCATTTGTGGTCTTCCTTCACAACTGAAAGAAAACTATGGGAGCGAGTTCATGTTAGCCTGAACACGTCACTGATGTTTGTGCCTCTGCTTATCTAGCTGTCCTTTGTGGGTCAGACAGATAACAGCAGAAAATAAAAATCAATTGTACACATAAAGTGCACATTATTGATGTATAGAAATGAAAAGGCCTTGATCTTCAGAGACTATTTCCATGATTGGAGGATTACTGTGACGTTTGACCCTAAGCTAAGAAAAATCAATATAGTCATAAAAATTTAGAGAGTGTTTTCCAGTGAATAAAAAGCCAGTGAGGTAGCTTCTAGACCTGGAAGAAAAATTAATAGCCTCTCCATACAACACTACATTTACTAAATTCTGAAGGTGTTATAAACAGTTTATGTAGATAGTCAGAGTTGCAAGCTGTCTCAACTAAGGTAAAAAGCAGCATCAACACTATAAAATTATTGTTGGCATTTGAATTTATTTTCCCTCATGAGTTGTCAAGTTGTCATTTAACTGTAGTACTATTTTAAAAGAGATAATGCATCCTGGAACACTGTGGATCGTTACATGGGTTTTTTTTTAATATTTAGGTTTTACAGAGCAAGTAAATCTCCAGCCATGGCAGCTCAGTCTCACCAAACACTTCAGGTTTTCAAACAAAGCTTCAGCATCTCTGTATAAGCTGGAGGTTGTGTGTGTGTGTGTCTGTGGATCACTTCAGCAGACTTAGAGGGTTTTATTAATAACAGAAAAATATTTAGAGGCTTACTTTAAGTACTCAATAGAAGACACATGTTTAGAATCCTGCTTTAAGTACTTCACAGAGATGGCTGGCTGGAAACTGCTAGCTTGCCAAAATGATTGAGTACTTTCAGGCAAGCTGTCAAGTGTGAAATTGGACATGACCTATTGATTGATCTTCAGCACCAAAATTAAAAGATAATGATTAGCTTTTTAGAGTTCTCAGCAGAGGAATTTTATTTATCTTTTACAGGACATTTGAATCAGAACTACACTTTTGCAGAGTGCTGATGAGGATCACCTAAAAGGACATTATAGTGCTAGATATGCTTCTTAACTCATACTGGTCCTAGCAGTGGACTTGCACATTAATACCAGGCGTGCCTAATGAGGCTGTGCCCTTGGCCACTGCACTGCTAATGCTGGCTCCAGAAGACATTTTTGTACACACAAAAGACATATTTATTTCTTTTTTCCCTTTTGTAAAATAAGGTATTTTCCCCTCCTCCCTGCCCAACATTTTATGTTTAGAGTGTTTGAAACGGTTTCCCCAGTTTACCATCAGTGCCTAAAATGTTCTTTGAGATCAGACAGTTTGTGTGCTTTTTTATAACAGAAAATATTTCAGCCTGTTCTCCCTATTTTTCCTGCTGAGGTAATGCAGATGGGTAGCTTAAGGTCTGGATTAAAAATGGAACTTGTGTCACCTAGTCAGTTTTTATAGGCTATATGTAAGTATCACGACCAAGAAGAATGATATATTTAGTATGTCTGTCGTTTAAGACAGGAATTATAATGATTTGCTCCCAAAAAGAAATACTGAATTATAAGGATGGGGAAAATAGAGTCAAATCATTGTCAAGTTCAGGAATCTTTTAATGATGTCAGTATGAAAAGTAATATGGTCTCAGGAGAATAAATAAGAAGTGTAGAATCATAGAATATAAGAGATGCTGTGTATGAGGAGGGAGTGAGTTTGGAGTGGACAAAAGTACATCCACTGATTTTTTGCATCAGGAGTGTGGTGCTAAGCTGCTGCAGAACAGACTGACTGCAGGAATTTACAATGATAGTGCTTGGGAAGATTTACCTCCTTTTGCAGAGGCAAGCTGAATGTCTGCTGCTAGAGAGATATGTAAACTAAAATGAAGCCTGAAAGTTCTGGTTTATTCTGTTTTTCTGAGGCTGAGACTGTTCCTAAAACTTAAAAGGTGCTATTGACGCAAAAGTGAAGATAATCTCAAAGAAATTAAAGCTGTAGATTTCTTTTATTTCTAGCTTTTTAAAAATGATAATCTTTTACTGTTCATAGTTAAATTATGCTTGGAGCAGAGTAGATTGAACAATAGATCGATTTTCTCCTCCCTTCAGTACCAGCAAATATAAATTCCATGTGCAAAGCTCACACTACATTTGCTACTGTAGCAAAATAAACTGCTTATAATGTGTCAATTTACTCACATAGATGGAAGATGGCAGGGGTTGTAATTTTTTATTGGACGTCGCAGATGTTTAGTTTTACATATTTTTGTAAAGAAAGGTATGTTTTATTTTTAATTTATAATTTCTTTTTAATTTGTTTCTCTTTAAAAAAATGTTTAACTTGCTCATTCGTATACTGATGTGCAAAAGTATTTTCATGTTTAAAAGGCTTAATGTAAAGATTCCTCTATGGACATCAATATTGCAATCATAAAATTCCAGCTTCTGTTGACTTGTTAGCACTCCTGTTTTATAGGGTGAAGATTAATTCCATTTGAAGAGAAAATGCTATGCTAAAGCACCTTTATCTTAAAAAATACCAAAGTAAGATACTATTCTATTGAATTGTACTGTACATACAATGAAAAGGTGCTTAGCTACAAGTGTTTTGCTTGTCCCCACACATAAGAAAAAATGTTACAATTGTATATGTATAGAATAACATAAATATTGAAAAAGAATTTAAAATTTTGACCACAATGTAGTATCCTGTTAATGGAAAAACAAACATATGAAAGAAAGGTGAGATGTACAATTACACACATACATTACCAGTTTATCTGTATTCAGATGACAGTCATGTAGGAAAATGCTGGTAAAGAATTTTTGTGCAAATAATTTATTTTTCAAAGAGTTGTGGCCAAAAATAGTAATGCTTGACACGTAGGCATTCTATTCACTATTTCAAATGCAGGTATCATTGAGCAGGGGAAGCAAACCAATTACAGCAGTTCTATTTATTTATTGTTGGGATCCATAAACAAAAAGCAAATCTCTGCACAAAATTATATGCTTAAACATGTCTTTTTAATTAATATTGACATTTCCATGAGATGATTTATTCCCTCTTGAGCTCCTTTATATAACCAATTTTCTCTGTGAAACAGTAATTGAACTGCTATAATTACAGCTGTGACATGGGGCTTGGAACATCCAAAAAGGAGGACAAGCAAATATTCCTGTACCTCAATAAGTGACCTAAATATAAATGTACTGCTCTCACATTGTTATTGGATGATATTCAAATGGATCACATAATGCTCTTTAAATCCTGCTACAAGTCAGGCATTCTAGTTTCCACTGATCTGAGGGTGTTTAATATCTTGTAGTGATGTGCTTATCAGGATGTTAATAATAAAGCAGGCACAGGCAGATGATGCAGTTCTCCATCTCACAGGTGAAAGAAAATAATACCTAATTATCAAAGAGCAGTTGGTCATGTTCCCATGGTTACAATGTGAGATAATGATAGTTTTCCCAGTGTTGTGTTTTTCATAATATATTAAGGAAGGAATGCAAGTTTTACAATGTTTGATACTTGTTTCTCTCATACATTTTAGTGTTAATATGGCAGAATAACCATGGGAGACTGGAATTTCCTTGGAGGCATTTTAGAGGAGGTCCACATTCATTCCACTATTATTGGAAAGATTTGGCTAACAATCCTCTTCATATTTCGAATGCTTGTCCTTGGAGTGGCAACTGAGGATGTCTGGAATGATGAACAATCAGAATTCATATGCAATACTGAGCAGCCTGGTTGCAGAAATGTGTGCTATGACGAGGCCTTTCCCATCTCTCTTATAAGATACTGGGTCTTGCAAGTTATATTTGTGTCTTCCCCTTCCTTGGTGTATATGGGTCATGCCTTATACAGACTAAGAGCCTTGGAAAAAGAAAGGCAAAAAAAGAAAGCTCAGGTAAGGGTGGAACTTGAAAGCACTGAATTAGAAATGACTGAAAATCGTAAAAGACTGGAGAGGGAGCTCCGGCAACTGGATCAAAGGAAGCTGAACAAAGCACCCCTAAGAGGCTCTTTGCTCTGCACTTATGTGATACATATTTTCACAAGATCTGCAGTGGAAGTTGGTTTTATGATTGGGCAGTATCTTCTTTATGGTTTTCACTTAGATCCCCTTTATAAATGTCAGAGAGACCCATGTCCAAACACAGTTGACTGCTTTGTATCTAGACCAACAGAAAAGACAGTGTTTATATTATTTATGCAATCAATAGCAACTGTATCATTGTTTTTAAATATTCTAGAAATTATCCACTTAGGATTCCGAAAAATTAAAATGGGACTCTGTGAGCAGAATAAAACTAAAGATGACTCTGAGAATTTCTACATAAACAAATCTAAGAAATACTCTGTGATACCACACTCTTCTTTGGGAATATCCACCACCCCTCAGAAAACACTTCCTTGTGCTCTTAGCAATTATACCTTTTTGATGGAAAAGCAAACTGACACTATGCTCTACCCAGTTTTAAATTCTCCTTCTGTGTTTCAGTCTGTGCAAAATAACCGTACAGAAAGCAGCAGCAATTACACCCATTGCAATCAGGAAAATAAATCTCCAAAGAAGAGGCCAGCTACAAATGCTTTGGACAATCAGACTCAAAATGCTAGCACAAATAATAATGAAGGCTTTCTTGGCGAGCTTTGGACTGAGAGGCATGATGCACAAGAAGAGGCTGAAAAGAAACATTTTCTTGTTGATACTCAGAATGCAGATACCACCTCAAACATGTACTTGAGAAGCTTTGCTGAGATGCCACCTCAAACTTTACTGCAAGCTGGTACAACTTTCCCTTGTACCAGTTCTAGACGACAGGCAATGGTTGAGAGCACAGGAGCACCAACAAATTCTCTTCCAAAGAACGGTGACAGAAGACAAAGCAGTTTCAGTGTAAACAAAACCCAAATTCCTTACAGTGCTGATGGAAAAAATTCCAGCCGACCAGACACTTCTGATTCTATGGGGGTGGTGAGCTCAGAATCTACACAAAGCAGAAACTGGAATAGTCCTAAGCTTTTCTCTCTGTCTCGGCAACAGTCACTGTCAAGTAATGCCAGCAGTAGGCGTGCCCCCACTGATCTTCAAATATAGTGTGAGTTAACTCATTAGCTGCACTCATTAACTGCGCTAACTCATTAGCTGCACTAACCAATGCTGGGATAATTGCTGAACAGAGACATAACCCAGACCTATGTGTAAGTGCAGCTAAATAATTCAACTTTAACCAGCTCTTTGCATAGGTAGAAAAGCTGTGTAACTCTTTCAAGAGTAGCTAAGTAATTTTAAACAGTCTCTTTACTTCCTTTGTAATGAAAATGTGGCACAGACCTCAGTATAAACTTCTACACTCCAGCTAAAAAGGAAAACATACATCCTCTCAATCCACATATTAGGAAAAAGTCAGGCATTAAATCACAGCTGGTTTTATGACAAACAAACAAACAAACAAAAAACCTAAGACAGAGAACAAATAAAAAAAAGGCAAATATGGCAGTACTTTCCTGATTTCAGTTACAATGTCAAAAGATATATAAAAGTTTTATCAAACACTAAAACTACTCCTTTTCTGTTTGTCTCTCTCCTGAATTCTGATAAACTTTTAAAACTTTTCAATCAAACAAAGCTTCTACCTGTTTAGGAGGAGCATTTGTGTTTATGCTTTTTATGGGGATAACAAAATATTAGGACATTTATCCACTCACTGTTCAGGTCCATATGGTGTAAAGGAAGTTCCGTGAAATATCTTGAAATAATAAAGGAGGCAAAGATGAACAAATACTATGGTACATTTGTAATCAAGCTTTCTATGTATGAAATACATTTATTTGAGTTGCACAGCACTGAAACACTGTAAATACTTGGTGAGGTGGTCACAGCTGAAATGCATTAGTATTTTTGTGTGTATTTTTTACTAGCAGATTTCACATACTGTTCATGTACTGAAAAAAATAATTTGTGAGATATAGCATAATGATGATACAGCACAATTAAATTCCTCAAGTGCACTGTCATTATGCTTACCAGACAGCCATGTTTCAGATTGACTGAAAACTGTACAATGCTAGCAAAAAAGGAGCCAGAAAACCTAAAAGGCTCTTTTGCTTGCAGCAGCAACATGAATTTGGTACTGTCCATGTAAGAAATACACACAAGAACTATTAAAACTATTCGCTGTAGATTTCTCTCCAGTACGTATCCTTTTCACTTCTGTGTGTACACATAAATACAGCCCTACATAATTGTGTTTACACTGTAAAGTTTAAGTTTGTATAATATACTAGAATGTACATAACTCTATAATGTGACTTAGGCATCAACACTGCTGCTGCGGCTTTGATTCTTGCATTTCTTGATGTGTAAAATTCCGTGAGCAATAACTGCTAATGCTTATTTTGCATTTCATCTCTCCATAATAAAAAGCCTCATATTTAATGCACTCTGTTCCTTCTGTCTAAATAATAGAAAGTTAGCATTTAGATGTTCATGTATGGGATAGGACATTTGTATTTTTGTTGTTCAAGACAAGTTAAAAAAGAATTTTTCTGCTGCTGTGAGAGGAATTTTACTAACTTTTTTATGTCTGGCCATGAGTCAAACATTCTGTTTAATCACAGCACCTTCCCAAATGAAGAGTAACTACTGAAAAATATAAACATTGCAGAAGAGCATGGAGAAAAAGCGTGAAAACTCCCTAACATCATATGTGCAAGATCATTTGGTTGGTGGGGTTTTTTTTTAATTTTTTTTTTTTATTTCTACAATAAATAGATTTTATCTGTCAGCGTTTCAGAAAAACAAACAGGTATAAGTGTTTCTGCTTTTTTTAAACAGGCTAAGGCAAAAGGCTTTCCTTTTGACGTGAAGATTTCATCACGTATCAATCACTCTTCAGAGCCTCTTGGGTAGGCACCTCTGCAGCTGCAGCTCGCTGCAACTTTCTCCTGTGATTTCAGTCAGCTGCAGCTACTGAAATTCATTAATCAGACACTCTGGATTTCACAAACCAGATGGAAAACAGAAAAAACTCCAGCGACCCGCAGGACAGCTCGCCGCTCCGCCCGAACAGCGCGGCACCGCCGCTCGGACACGCTCGGGCCCCGCTCACGGCCGGCCGCGCTCCGCTCCGGACTGCCGCTGCCACAGCTCGCCCTCTCCGCGGGGCGCTCCGGGGCCGCGTCCCGGGCAGCGGGCGGCACAGCCCCCGAAGGCTGAGCCGAGCCCCGGAACCGTCCGCGGCGAGGAGAGCAGGGCAGAGCGGGACGAGGGCCAGAGCTGCGCAAGAAAAGGGGGCACAGCGCCGGCCCCGGCTGCCCCTTAGGGAGAGCGAGGCCGCCCCGAGGGGAGCGAGGGCGGCGCGCGGGGCCGGGCCCGCGGGGCGAGGCCCCGGCCGTTGCCGCGGCGCCGTCGCCGTGGTAACCGCGGGGAAGCGCTCGCGCCGTTAAAGCGCAGGGCGCAGGCGCGCGGCCGGGGCAGGCGCCGTGCGGGTTAGATGGCGCACCACAAGGTAGGGGGGAGCGCGCCGGCGTGGGCGCGGTGCCGCTCTCTGTGCCGGCTGCGCGGAGCGGCGGGCCGCCGACCGACACCGGCTCGGCCCTTCGTGCCGCCTCCGCGGCGGAGAGCGGGACCGGCCTGTGCCAAGGGGCCGCCTCCGCAGTCGAGGCGGGGCGCGCCGCCGATCTGACCGTGTGGGCGTCCTCCCTCAGGCCGCGGACTCCAAGCGGGAGCAGTTCCGCCAGTACTTGGAGAAGTCGGGAGTGCTGGACATGCTCACCAAGGGTAAGTCTCCGGCTCGCGTGGTGCCGCCCGAGGGGCCGGCGGGCGCCCTTCGGGGGCGTTGCGGGCGGGTGCCGTTGCTCTCAGGGTGTCCCGCTCCCGCGGAGCAGCTGCCGCCCCGCTCGGCAGTGTCGCGGTCGTGCCTCGGGCTGCCTTGCCGCTCTCCACTGGCTTCCCGCCTCGCCTCGCCGATCGCTTTTTCTCCTCAGTCCGGCGAGGCGGCCGGCAGAAGAACTCGCCTGGAAAACTTGGTGCGGCGTGGCCTGGAAATGGAGTCCGAGGTGCGCGGCGAGGCGGTGCACGCCGGGAGAGGGCAGCGGGCCGCTGGAAACGAGCCCCGGCAGCTGCAGAGCGCTCCTGCCCCGCACGCTCACCGTGTGGGGGGCCGGTGCCGGAGGTGCGTGCAGAACGGCAAGGCGGGCCCCTTCCCCTGCCTGGTGTGTCCGAGACCTCTCTTCTTCGGCCAAAGCGCTACTCCCAATGCGTGCTTTTGGTTAGTTTATTTTCTTTCCATGGGTGCTTTTCGTGAAGTTCTTCTACAGTGGAAGTCAGTGCTTGAGGTGAAATAACAGCAAATGTTATCTTAAAAAAAAAGCCCTTTGTTTCATACCCTTTCTTGGATGGAACTTAGTGCTTTTTTCTAGAATGAATGAAACTAAGTTCTGGATTAATGATTCTCCATATCTAACTGGGGGAAGTGGTGATGCTAAACTTGATACGTGTGACTTGGTATCTTTGAAATCCTTCTAAAATCTTTTTGAGACCCTTCCAACAGTATGTGGCAAAAATGTGTTAATATTGAGAAAATTAATATTCTGCTAATATTGAAAATATGCTGTTTAAAGAGGGAGCAGCAGATCTAGGATGTCAAGCGAATAGCTGCTGCACTAAGACTCTTGGCCTGGTGCGTGAGTACCATTTGATTTTTCAATCGCAGTACCATCCTATGGGATGGCGAAAAAGTCTCCCAAGCAGTGAGGCAGCCTAATTTTGCTTTTAACTTAGGAGGTACTTAGCTGAAAACATGTTTGGCTGTGTAGTTCAGACACCTGAAACCGGCACGTGGCCCCTGTGGGGAGCAGGGAGTGGTTCTGTTTGGGAACTCCCTGGGTATTCATGTGACAGTTTCCTATTATGTTGCTATGTACGTGGCTATTTTTATTTAAATTATCGGGGTATTGGTGCTTTTGTCTGTTGTTTTGGCCATTAGAGCCCCCATCCGTAAAGATTATCAGGGTCAGTTAGCCATTTAGTAGCCATTTAGTTTTGTAACTGTAGATGCTCAATGAAGGTTTGCTATTCTGCAGGAAGTTACAAAGCTGCCGATGTCCCGTGGTTTAGAGATGTAGCTTAAGTAGAAGTTTTATGAATAATATAGTTAGAATTTCAGTGTTACTGGCAAAAGCTAGTACTAGTGTGCATATGGCATATGTAAAAATGTTTCAGGCTATTTTGTGTTCTGTGTTAGAATAGCTAAAGACTATGTGGGGTTAGGGATCAAGAAAACTCTTTAGCTGTTACTAGGTGGAATGCTCTGTCCCCTCTGATACAGCAGACCTGTTGCTTATGTCAAAGTGTACAGGTGAAAATCTTGTTAAATGGAAAAATGCAACATGTATGCTTTCTGACTGCTGGTATGTGTTTTAAAGACTTAGAGTTGCATGAACTTCTTGCAATTGTTGAATATTTTCTATTTGCAGTGTTGGTAGCCTTATATGAAGAGCCAGAGAAACCAGATAGTGCACTGGAGTATCCTTTTTCTTTGCTGTGACTTATTTATTGAGACTTCATGCACAGTACTGCTTCTGACTCGTGGGTGAACTGGATAGGCTCATTTCAAAGCCTTGCATTGAGAACGTGACTTTTGTCAATGCATTTTACCTAATGATTGCATTTTCACAAGCTAACAGAGTCTGACAGGGTGCAAGAGAGCAGGGTATTTCAGTGTGCCAGCAATTATGAAGCTGAGTTAGAGGCCATGTCAGTGCTGAGACCTGCAGCATTAGGTTTGAGTACCTGCAGTGACAATGGGTTCTGAAGTTTGCTTCTTCACTTTTTCTGTCGTTTTTTGTTTGTTTTTAAATACACGAAGAAGGAGGAAACTAGCATATTTGGTCTCTTGCTGTTTTTAAGCCGCCTACATTTTTTGGTATTGCTTCTTTTTTTGTTATTTCTTTTAATTCTTCAAAACATCTGCCATTAAGAAGAGAAAAGAGAAGAAGGGGGTAGTAACACATAAGGATTTGTACTGATATCTTGTTTTTGTTTGTTTTTAAGGAATATAGCTATGACTTTGAAAAGCTCTCTTATTTTGGTAACTTTTTTCCTGTAGTAATCTCAATGGTTTACTGTTAACTTCAACATGGGTGTGAAAACTAAAATGTAGTTATGCAACTGAAGAAATACTTAACATCTAAATATCAGTTTTCTGAAGCATCATCTGGGAGCTTCAGCTCCTGAGAATCCGGAAATAGAGGCACTTCGCTTGGAAGTGGCAGAGATGAAAGAAAAATATGAAGCTGTGCTGGAAGAAAATAAAAAACTGAAAACCAAGGTAAAAGCCTACTTGGTGCTACTCTATAGTTCCATATTATACAACAAGAAAAATATTTTAAGTAATTAAAATAGAGCTAACTTTCTTCCATTAGAGTAATAGATAGTTGTTGTTGCATTGTTTAACCTCATGACTGAGAAATGCTGATAGAATTCATTGTAGTAAAGATTATTATTTTTTATGGAACACTTCTTATAGAATATAATATAAAATATTGCTAAACTAGGGATTTTATTTATTTAGGGAAAGTGTATTATTATGTCCAATACGTTGTATTGAGTCTTGTCTGGATGTGTTTAAGTTATCTGATATTATGTAGATCATGCTTTCAAGACAGCTTTGACAAACAAGTAAGGTACTGTATCCAGTATAAAGCCTTTCAAAAGGCAGATTGAAGGAGGAATATTATGTATTACTTTGTGTCACTTGGCACAGACTTACACATGGCAGGATCTTACACAGGCACTTAGATCCGCGTGGAACAATAATTTGTGCTTTTTACTTAAAGTGGCCTTGGTATTTATCTGAAACAACAATGAATCTGAAATGCTAGCTAGGGTAGGGCTGTTCTTTAGTGGGTCTACAGGCTGTCTGAGAGAGCTCTGAGATGTGAACAGCTTTCTAACAACACTGAAGAAGGAAACCTGTGAGCTATTTAATATGCTAGTAGCTTATGTGCCACTGCAGGTTTCCATGCATTTGTTGAAAGAGGACGGTGGTTGTTATATGTGAATACCCCTGAGTTTTTTACTGGGAGACAACCACCTCACTTTAGTTCTGTGAGAATGCATAAGAAATACAAAGGGGTAATGCCCAAGAATCCTGAGTGCCATCTTGCTGTCCTAGTAATTCTCCTTGCCTGTTACTCATTATGAGTCTTCAGCTACATTTGTTATTTCTGCCTAGGAAATATGGCAAAGAACAGCATTTTAGGCAGAGTAGCAGTAGACCAGCCACTTGTTTTAGCAGACTTAAAAATGCAGCTGATAATAAATAGACAGATAAGAGCAGAGTAATCTGGGTCTTTGTTTAAAGAAGTCTTTTCAAGAAGTCAAAACTTGTTGCAGGAAAGTAAGCCTTTTGGAATCATGGGTTCATTGGTGCTTTCCTGTTCATTCTTTAAATAATAACCCCTTTACATATTTCCCAGTATTAGTGTGTTTTGTTTCTTCCTGTTTTTTCCTCTACAATGTCATGCCCATCACTCTTGACATACTGTAGAAGTTCACACAGCATGCAGGGAGAACACTACCATTCTCTTGTAGCAGTCCTCTAACATAAAATACATGTCTTTATTTGTGCTTTTATTGGTAACTAACTGTTGCATTCATCACACAAATGTCAGATATTCATGTGTGTTGGGAGGAGGACAGGAAGTCAACAGTTAGGTCCTTGGTAGAAAAGAAAACTGACTTTAGGTTGTGTATTAGTCATGTGTTGTAGTGAAGTCTACAACAATAAAAAAATACTATTTTAGTGGTTCTTGTTAGTAGCAGAGTGCTGCAATTTACTGTAACTGGTAGGAAGGAATACATGGGGTTTTTTTGGTGTTTATTATTTTTAATTTTTATTTACGCTTTTTAAATTTTATTTGTATGTACTTTGTTTATTTTTAACCCACTCTGCAGTTTGCAGACGGGAGAAATCTTAATTGAGTAAACTGAACCTGCATATTTCAGAGAGATGGCCATAATTCTTGAACTGTTTTTGAAGCTTGACCTAATCTTTAATGCCACTGAAGTCATGTGAACAACTTTGTATCTTTCTTTGGTAGTAACTTTACAAGTAAAGGTCATATTTAAGTATGTAGTTGCCCAGGCTGTACTCTCCAGAAAGCGAAATGGAAGCTAGAAAGATTACAAGAAATGTTAGGTGGATACTATTGCAATGAGAATGACTGATTCATTTAATGATGTTTCAGTGAAAGTTTATAGTACCCTAGTCACTATTTTAAGATGAAAG